GGGGGGGGGGGCGCTGGCGCATCACTTTGCGGGGGAGCCGATGTGCGCGCGGCATGCGGCGTCCTCGGCCGGCCGCGCGGGGGGGTATGCCGGCAGGGCAGCCGCGTGCGCCGCCAACGCGGGCGCGGGAAACGGGCCCGGAGTCTGGGGCCGCCGGGCACGGGTGAGGCGCGTGGTCGCGCGTGCGTTGGCAGCGCCCACGCACCAGAATGCCATTCCAATGGGTGGGCACCTCCCGGCTAGTCAGAGTTGGCCCCTGGGCGCGGGGTGTCCGGGCGAACCGGGCGGTTGGGGGTGGGCCGGCCACGGAGACGGGGGGGGGGGGATGGCTGGCCGCCGGTTGGGCCTTTTTCGGGCGGCGTCCTGCCGGGCGGACGCCCGCACCGGGGGGATGCGCGCAATCACCCTCCCCTGCCCCCCTGCCCTCCTCGCTTCTTTTTCCTTGAATGCCGCTTGCGGATTTGCCCTTCTCCCTCGCGTTCCCCTCGCCCGCCTGTCCTCCTCGCCCGCCACCCGGGCCGCCCTCCGCCTCCCCTCCTCCCCTTTGATCCGATGTACAACCGGATCGGCCTGTCGACCCCCCGGGGGTCCGGGACCAACGGCTTCGTCCAGCGGAACCTGGCCGACACCCGGCGCCGGACCAACGCCGTGACGATGGCCGACTTCAATGTGGCGCCGGCCGAGGACCCGCGCATGCGGGCCCCCGCCGACCCGAGCATCCTGGAGCACGAGCGCAAGCGCGCCATCGAGGTCCAGTGCCACCAGCTGCGCGCGCGGCTGGAGGCGGCCCCGGCCGCGCAGCGCCTGTCTCCGGACGAGGTGGACATGCGTGTGCAGGCCCTTCGTCGGAAGCTCCAGGCCGAGGTGGACCGCCTGCCGAAGCCGACAGCCGGCGGCAAGTCGTGCGTGTGTGGGGCGCTCTGCCGCCTTCTTCCTGCCTGCCTGCCCTGCTCCTGGGGTTCTAACGCCCGGTCTCCCTCCCTCTCTTTCTCCCCTTCCTCCCCCGCTGCCGCGCTTGACGTCGCCGCCCTGCGCTGCGCCCCTTCTCCCTCCGTCTCTCTCTCTCCCCCCCCCCCTCCCGGCCCCCTGGCGCACAGGTACAAGCCGCACGAGTCGCACTTGATTGCGGCGGCCAAGGTCCGGGACAATGACCGCTTCGCGCGGGCCCTGCGCCTGGGCCCGCATGCGCCGGCGCCCCGAGCTGACGCCGGGCCGCGGGATGGCGGACCCGCGCGCCTCCCTGCCCCGGGTGCCGGGGATGCCAAGAAGGCTGACCGGAAGAAGGACGACCGGAAGACGGCCGACCGGAAGCGGGACTCCCGCCGGCGGGATGCCTCGGTTTCGGACGGCTACGACTCGTATGACTCGTACGATTCGTACGATTCGTATGACTCGTACGACTCGTACGATTCGTATGACTCCTACGACTCGTATGACTCGTATGACTCCAACTCGGAGTCGGACGCGTCGGAGTCGGAGCGCGATCGCCGGGACCGCCGGCCCTCCTCCAAGCCCCGGGATGACGCCCCTGCCGGTGGCAAGGGCGCCTCCCCGCCGCCGGCCGAGTCCGAGTCCGACATGCTTTCGCGGTGCCGGGCCTCGCCCAAGGGCCGCCGCGGAGATCGCGAGGATCGCCAGCGCGACCGCAGTGTTGAGCGTGGTCGCGACCGCAGTATTGAGCGTGGCCGCGACCGCAG